GGAAAGTGAAACACAGAATCGACTTGGAAAACTAAATACAGACAGAAATGTACCCTAAAATTTTGAAATCGACGAAGACATTTCCAGAAAAGAATGCAGGAGAAATAAAATGACACCAAGATTTCGAAATACAAAGTTCAAAATAACAATAGAGTAAAATCACTACAACAAGAAATAAAAAAAAATATATATAAATCTAGATTAAAAACTAAAAAGAAAACGTAATTATGTTTTTAGATTTCCATTAGTACTGACCCAACTTATAGAAATACTACCTATCAGACCGAACAAAGCGATAGTGCATATTTAGCACATTTATCACAAGAGACTTCAAACAAAATTCGTAAAAAAGAAAGCATTCTACACGAAATGTAATATTTGGAAGAAATGAATTACAATATCGATTTGCTTAGCGACCATTCAACTAACCTAGCCGAAGCTATAGTTTTAACCAAATTAAATGTCATTTCTAAATTGATTCTTGACCAACATGAAACGAAATTCATTTATGATGTATTTACACAGCTGTCTGTTGAGCTTATCTCAGACGAACATATCTATGAACATCTTGGGCTTCAAGCTTATTACAATCATAGCAGCATAATATTCAACGTTAGAATACCTGTTCTTTCGAAAATGACATACCAATTCAGTCACATTATTCCTTTAATTAACTTTACAAAAATGATCGTAACACAACCATACATAGCCCACAACGGAAAAAGTGTTCAATGCTTTACAAAAGCCTGTCCTAGGATTGAAAGCACCTTTTATTGTCGCTCCCCGCTGTATAAAGAAGACGTAAACAACTCATCCTGTGTTGGAAACCTGTTGAACCACAAACCCCCCAAATGCGTATTTAATGCCGGACCAGTGGAGCCAATAATAACACTTGAAGAGAATTATATACTTTTTATTAATATTAAACATACACTAATAAATTATACTTGTAGTAAAAACCCCCATGAAGTAAAAGGAAGCGCACTCCTGCGATGCAAGTCCTGCGAAGTCGTCATCAATTGAACCCCTTACTCGGACAACCATAGTATGTCCTGGGACACATAACACCTCCAACATACTCCCAAATTGAAGAAGAGGCGACAGTAGAAACCTTAAACTTAAAGAAGCTGGAAGAATTTTATGTCGAAAACAAGGAAGGTGTCCTAACTCTGGAAAACGAAGCGGAAGATACTATGAAATTTACCCACATGGCCCTATTAATCCTAGCAGTCATGATGATTATTCTATTCTTCTCAAGAAGAACAACGCAAGCAACACCGAATGTCATCGTTCCAGCCATACCAACCTCCAGTTCTTTATGGCCGTCACTCTATTCTAAGAGGGAGGAGTTACGTTGGCCACCAACCCCACAGGCTGACACAACTTATATTGCTGATACAACATATATTGTTCACACGCGTTTCACTCAGACATGCTGACACAACACATTCATACACAATAATTATCGTTCACACGCGTTTCACTCAGACATGCTGACACTACACTGCACAATCATACACAACAATTACCGATCATACGCTGGCACAACATAATTGACACACGCCACACCAAAACTATATCATAATACACAAATCAATAACGTAATTAAAATAACTGTTTGTCTTTTGCATAAAAATATATTTTGTAAATTAATTTTAAGCATTCTGACAATAAACAGAAAAGAGGACAGAAATTCCAACAAATCATTTTTTTTTATTTAATCAATTGAAACGAACCCTTAACTCGCGCATTGTAGAGTATTATATTGCAATACGTTGGATAAACATCTATGATGAAATACTCGTATGTTTGGTTTTGAGTTGAATTGATGGAACTTAATATGTCATAAATTATTGTATAAGGATAATATATATATATATTAGGTTGAGAAAAAATAAACCCATTATTTTGTCGGCGGACGGCTGTGCTGCTAGATTTCTCGTAAATTATCGATTAAACAATTTCAGATTTATGACCTATGCTGTTTTTTGTTTGGTGCTATCAGCAGTGAATTGCAGGGTGTTAAAAATGGAAGTAAACGGAGAGAAAATTCGGTACATCCATTGACAACGAAAATTGGCAATATTGTCCCTATATATATTTGGAAAAAGATTTTCGCTATATACTATAGTCGCCTCAAATGAATTATATAACAAAGAATCTCTCACTCCACAGACCCACTTCAGTTTTCAATTTCGAAATTTTTTTCCATAAAATTTTACCAGTAAGGAAAGTTCTTTAATTTAGATTTGTATAAAAATATTAATTTTTATTGACCCCTGGTTTGGTTTTTAATTATTCGTTAAAATGTACGCGCTACGGTTTATTGCAACCTTGGTTTAGCGCCGTTGACATTTTAACGAGTAATTATTTGTCACTTGTTTTGCTGCCTCCTCTAAGCATCAAGGAGTACCATTCTGTCAGTCGGACAGACAGCTACGCATATCGTTGCGAGCACATATCGTTGTGCCTAGAAAGGTAATATCGTTTACCATCTACTCAACCTATCAATAAACATTGAATTATTACTAAGAAAACTCTTGTGTTTTTATTCTTCTTTACTTTTACCGCTCTCTATACGTACACCCTGACATTTTAACGAGTAATTAATTGTCACTTGTTTTGCCGCCTCCTCTAAGCATCAAGGAGTACCATTCTGTCAGTCGGACAGACAGCTACGCATATCGTTGCGAGCACATATCGTTGTGCCTAGAAAGGTAATATCGTTTACCATCTACTCAACCTATCAATAAACATTGAATTATTACTAAGAAAACTCTTGTGTTTTTATTCTTTTTTACCTTTAAGGCTTTCTATACGTACACCCTCTCCTACGGTCCACTGCTCGACGCATTCAGCGTACCGGCTCCCATCGGCGGAGCCCCTCTGAGCTAAACATTTGGTCCTTCGAGCCGGATTGATCCATCAATTGGAAGTAAAACACCCTCTTATTGTTTTTTTCCGCCAATCGTGGCTTCTAATTTGGATGCTTGCATTCAGCAGCATCATAATCAAAACAAAAATCGAACATTCCATAATCGCAAAAATCGTTGACATTCTTTGTTTGTTCGGTTTTTTTGTTCTTTCAATTCTCCCATCAAACACTGTTGTTGTTGAAGAAATATTTTTTTTCGTTTTGCTTATTGCATAAAGCAACAGCTGCAATATTATTTCGTTTGTTTTGTTTGTCACCAATATTGCATATTGTTGTTGCTACATTTATTCCTTTTCTCGCTGTAACAACAGAACGATTTCTTGTTGTTTGTCGCTATCAACAACAACAATGTTTGACCGTCCACCTAGATCACTGCTAGCTTTGTTGTTGTTCTCTGATCAGCACTTGTTGTTTGTGCTTTGTTAGATCAGTGAACTAACATAACAAACAAAGAAAGAATATTTTTGTTATTCTTCTTTCTGTTATGTCCGCTTAGGTCGAGTACCTGCTTACGTTGATTAATTACTTTTAAGGAATACTTTTTGTTTATTCCTTTTTCTATCGTGTCCGTTTAGGTTGAGTAGCTACACTACCTTGGTCGGCAACTTTGATTCAGTACATTAGTTTGTATTAGGGTGTTGCAAAATAAATATTTAATCAAAATACGATAGTGTATTTTATTGTTGTTTTTAAGTTTTAACATTTTCTAGTTGGCACACCCTATAGCCAGTCATATCGGCACAGTAAATAAATTAAAATATAATCGTAATTTTATTTATTTTTGCAAATTGTTTGACACTTGATTATTTTATTTATATAAACATGGCTTTCGCTCCTCTATTAAATCTCATAAGTGCTTCTGACGCGCTCGTCGAATTTGGTGCACAAATCGGTGCCACAGAAACTGATGATTTAAATATTTGTGAGTTAGAGGAAAGGAAGGGCATGATAGAACAATTATGGCAATCGGTCCATAAGTCGCTGCAACATTTAAAAAGTGCAGAAAATGTTACAAAAGACTGTCTGCATTTGGCATATAGTAAATATAATGATTCTCTTAAAATGTATTCGGATACAATGGCAGCATTGAATAGACAAATTTCAAAAATTCGTTCTTTAGAAAAATGTAATAGTATAAAGGCGGATAAATCACATGAGCAATCGGCTCAATCTGTTTTGGTTCCTTGTTCGCAGGAAGAAGTTGCCTTTAATAGTTCTTCACCCGGTGATATCGTTCACAATATGCTATTGCTCCCAATAGATATTGATGTTTTCGATGGGGATTTTTCTTCTTGGCCTTCCATTCGGGATTTGTTTAGCGCCGTCTTTATACAAAATAGTAGATTGACAGAGGTCGAACGAATGTTTTATTTGTTGCATAAGACAACTGGAGAAGCTAGGGAAATAGTTTCGCAATTCCCTCTAACCAATCGTGGTTTCTCTCTAGCTTCGCTTTATACTATAATCGCCTCAAATGAATTACATAACAGAGAATCTCTCACTCCACAGACCCACTTCAGTTTTCAATTTTTTCCATAAAATTTTATGATTTCTAAAAAATTTTCATATGAAACTTATATAATTCTGAATATCGCTACATGTGATAATGTTTTTCATTAAATTTGTTATTAATATTGATGTACGAGACACTTAAATCACGTAATCTTTGTAGGTTTACAATTTCTTGTAATCTACAAAGAATCTTTATTTTGTATTGAATATTTATACAATTTTTGAATTACTCTAAAATTAACTAAATATGTATAATCAGCATTATTCTTCAGCCCGTAACCCATGCAGTTGTGAAACCATTCGAGTTGTTTCTTTATTTGGGTTACTGGCCTGCATACACAAAACAATAAATAAGTTTAGGTCAGTTATTTGCTGACAATAATAATGTGATTAAAAACAATAATTAAGTCTAGGTCAGTTATTTGCTGACAATAATAATGTGATTCAATAATAATAATATGACTAAATGATAATAACAATATGATTAAATGAGAATATGATTAAATCAATATGTTCTTTTTGAACATTCTCCCCCACGTTGAACGAGCCAAGTTCAAGAAACTGCAGCGTCGATGAAATATGATGACGGGAGTGATTGGCGAGGGGTTGGTACTGGATTGCTGTTGTTGCTGCTGGTCGTCGAGAACTGGCGAAACTTGCATGTGACGTAGATAGCCACTCCAATTCCTACGCACAGAGCCAAATAACTAGTGACGTGATGATGAACGGCTGTTGTCTTCATTAGTTGTGGCAGGTGTCCAATATCTATGGACTTCAACTGCTGGTGTAAATTGATGAGTTCAGCAGTATGTGTCTCATAGCTGTTGTCCAAGGTTGTGTTTAACACGGCAAGCTTGCTGGTTGATATGATTGCGTCTAGCGGCTTAAGTCTTACGTACGACGTATGCCCAACGGTCTGATTCTCGTAATGACCATATATCGTAACGGTGTTATCTTTCAATATGCAATTTGACCCTATCTCGAGAGTCCCAGTTCCTTGTACTTCCAGGTGAGTCATTTGTGTACCACACACGAATGACAATTCTGTTGCGTTTGGTAGGGTAAATATCCATTGACCCTTTTGGACCATTTGCCTCCAACCTTCGTAATAAGTTGTTGACTTTACGTCGCAAGCTTCCGATGACTTATTTAATAAAAAGTTGATCTCGCATAAATGCGACCGATCATGCTTGCTCAACTTTGCCTGTTTATGGCAAATATAAATGTCATTCGTTGTATGTACACAACTGTGCATTTCGTCTGTTGTTAACGATATGAATTCATCCCGATGAGCATTTGCTGCCAATATTGTTGATGGTAGTGATATTGAAATGAACTGACCAGACTGTAGCATGGGTATTGGAATCATGTTATATAAATCATATTGTTGAAGATCCACTAATGGAAGGCGAATCTCAAATATGACACTATTTTTCATAACACTTCCCTTACATGTCATTAGCTTGAAGAACTCTGTCAAGTTATCTTCTGAAATAGGTAGAGTGCGGGATGGTGGCATATGTGCCTTGATCGTTTGGAGCTCGTTTAGTAGCTGATGTGGCATAAGTAACAACGGACTGATACGGCCGTGATGGACGTCTGTCAAGACATCGATGATCCTGTCTTCTGTTTGCTTTAACTTGGATGATAATATCATAAGATGCGAGACTAGGAACAATATGAATTGATTTGTTTTCCCATTATCTTCTTCTTTTTTCACAGTATTTGCCATTAGTTGCATCTCCGTGTGCATATTTTCAAAACTCCTTTGACTCGTACCTTCATCCTTTTTGATAATGTTTATCCAACATGTGTTGTTTGTCCTCATTTGCCTTTTCTATCGTTGCAGCCATTTGATCAGCATATTCGGAGTCCAAAACACCAAATAACGAGTGCGCCAAGTTTCCAACTATGTTTAGAGCACCCCGCCTGCTGCGCCGAGGAAATATTTTCATTGTAGCAGTATTTAGCTGGGTTTGGACTTGCATAAGGTTATCTGATACAACTGCACAAGTTCTATTTTCAATTGAACTCCTGCACACATCCTGAAGTGTTTTTATTCCAGTTGAAAAGTCGTCCATATCTGCCCAAAACGGAGAAAGGTCATAGTAAGTTATTAGCCTCCATTCTGCTGTTATGACCCTTGTAACTCCAATCCCTTCAAA